GGGGGGTGGTGGTTTAGCCTCTATCATGCGTGCTATTTAATTAGTTCACTGTTGTGACAGTAAAGCCAAAAGACAGTTGTCGCTATTGCAAGAGTGCTTTCGTGTCCTCGTTTTCTCACTAACGTCCGTGCTACCTTCAAGTGTTGCTGGTTTTCTAAACGCAGTGTTGTTTGACTCGAAAAAAAGGTAACTAATATTTGTTGTTTCTCCATTCATTAGACTTGCGTTCTGCTTTGCCAACTCTGGAAAGGATCGTGAAAGGATTTAGGAAGTTAGGGGCTGCCGATAAAACCAGAGATGTCTTATACTTTCAGGTGAACATCTAACCATGAGCCGCACTATTGACTGAGTGTCGTAAACCAAAACCAGAAAAAAGTTGGATAACGAAGAACCCGGCGATATAAAAAAAAAAAAAGCAAACAAAAAACACGTAACCGACCTCGTGCTTGGAAGAGCACGAGTAGCCATGTCTGGATGGTATTCAGTTTTGCATCTTATTGTTTGAGCGAGTGACGCAAGTTTGTAGACGAAAAAGCGAAGTCGAGGCAAAATCCAAATCAATTCCAGATTACTTAGGGAATTTAATTTAAAATGGCTGTTTTAGTGCAATGTTAAAGGACGTTTTTGATGGCGAAGGTGGGGTCTCTCTCACCTACTTGCGCACGCACCCCATAATAATTCTTAAAATTAAATCGGCATCTACTATCTAAAGTCGACTTCAGAGCCGTGCGACCTGCGTTTGTAACTTACTGAGTAGAGACACAAAGAACATGGGAACACTTCACGGGGACTAATGCCTGCTTAACTTTTCCTGGGCATTTACAACTTAAAAACGACCGTTCTTTATTTTTGTCAGGCGAGGATATACGACGAGCTGGGTTTCACCATCGAGAGAAATGCGTGTGCGGCTGAGTGCTGTGAAATCCTCCAAAGACAACCAACAAACAGCGCCCGGTCTTCACTCTTTGTTTTATAAATAGATAACAGTTTGGCGATCGAGGGAGCGTAGCAAAGAATTGCAAGATTGGCGTCGTTATGGAATTGTCTGTCGGACGAAAAAATAAAAAACAAGGAGGCAGCGATTTTATTCAAGAGGGCAACTCAGTTTACAGTATACGGCATCTACCGCGCGAAACTCTGAATCCTTTCAAAATCCAAGTGTTAGACTCGCAATATCGTTTTGGTGTTATCACAGGAATAACGACTGTGTACAAAACATATACAGAAACTTTTTAATTACTCATGAATTGCTGCTGTACAGTTATTGCTTATGAAATAAAACAAAATTTCTCCTGGCTTTATTGAGCCTGTTCTGTCTTCTTGGCCTGCACTTCCTCTTTTGCCTGAAAAGTAAAACAAAGTACAACGGAACAAGTTAACCGACTTCCAACAATCGCTACACAAAAATCGCCGAAGTACACGACCATAATCCTCCACAACTTGAAAATTGGGCAAGAAGCGTTTTAGCGTGAGCTGTTCTTCACTGGTGGGCAAAAAAAGGGTCTTGCACAACGCGAGCCAGGAATAGGGATCTAACTCTTAATATTAGTGCCACACCTTCGGCACACTGGGCCTGCTCGTAGAGTACGCAGATGCTAACAACTACACTTTACTTCCTACTAATTCTCCCCTATGCTTATTGTTGTAGGCTGGCCAGGTAGGTTTGGTCAGAGATAAGAACTAAGAGTAACGCGTCTTGACTAGCAATGCAACTACAGCTAAGTTAAGTTACTATAGATTTCAATCTGACTTAGTGCCCATATTGGGTTCTGGCAATAGATTTCTTATTCCGGGGCATTAATATCTTTGAGAGAATTTTGCATTTCTTCATGTAAAAGGGAGAATAGAGCAACATTTTACGGATGCACTGAATTGCCAAAGTGAGAGATAACAGTTACAAAAAATGCCGCATGAGGTAAACATACTTTCTCCACCAATGGCACCAGGTTTCCTTGTTTGGCCAAAACTTTTAAAAGTTCCATAATCAGTGGTAGATAGTTGTGTTTTCTCCTTATGTTTTCAACCTGTACAATTTCCAGAAGAATGAAAGAAAAGGTGTCAAGTTAAGGGATATTTTTGTACAAACAACTGGCCCAGTTGTTAAAAGGGAAGATAACTGCGGATAAGTATTAATAAAACATACTATGCTTCGGATAGCTTTACCCACCTTTCAAAAAAGGGGGCAGGGGTTCACAAGCTCATTGTGGAACACCACCTTATGGATATAAGCCATTTTTAATGTCCTGATTATGCATGAAATTTTGTTCGAATAAGGATGTGAAATGCACCACCACCACAACTAGGAATGACATCACAGATGCAGTTGACACTGATCTGCCTTTGTTGTGCATGAAAAATACATGCTTAGGTTCATTTTAACGTGAGAATATTATATTTTGTACTAATAATGTCACGTCTCCAACTTCTTAGTCAACAAATATTGGATACTTCTGCATGCAACCTAAATCTTGTGCAATTCGAGCAAATGTGGCAGAATGTTTCTACAATCTTACTTTGCCTGCCATCAACGAGATAAAATTCCTACCTTGTATCGCAACATTTTGTCATCCTCTCCTGCAATAAGTGTCTGTAGCCGAGAAAGTTCGCCATCAATATTCTTTAAAATAGCTTGATATTGACTGACTGATGTTGCCATCTGGTCTGTCTCCATTCCCTCCCCTCCCTGAAAAAAAAAATACAGGGCTGTTTTTCAGCAGGTCTCATTATCTTGACATAGCTTTACATCAGTTGAAACAGAAAGCTGTGGAACAAGAAGCTATGGTTTTTAAAAATCACCTCAGCTGATGTCCGACTTTTTAATTCTTCCAGCTGAAAAATGTAGCAATAGAAAAATTAATCAACTTGTTATCACTTGGTAATGGATAAAACAAGTCAAATGACAAGGAAAACATCTCATATTCAACTATTGAGAAGTTGTTTAAGAATTGGGCCCACACCTGATCCAGAATCTGTTGCTTCCTTTGGTTTAGTCTGTCAATGTCTTTAAGGTGAAGGGCTTTTCTTGATGAAACAATTGCCATGAGATTGAAGTGAATTTCTTCTGCTGAGTATCTGAGATTAGAAAAATCAAGACACAATTTTGGGTTTTAGTGCATAGCTTTTGTCAATGAATCAGTTGCTATGAGGTTGACATGCATTTCTTCAGCTGAGTATTCCAGATGAGATGGTGAAGCAAACAGTTCTGCAAGTTAAGTGCATTTTAGAGCTTATTTTTTCTTTGTTACTATGCATGTAAAATCCCATCATATTTTGTTAAAACTTGTGTCTACTGTCCATCCTGGTTGTGCAGAGAAACATAAATAACAGAAACTCTAACAGCAAAGAAAAGAAAAAAAGAAATACTTTGTAGGACTACCTACTTCTGCATTCTTGTTTCAATGATTGGTTTGCATGTGGTCAGCCAGTTTTCTGGAGTACATGGTCCTGACAGGATGCAAATAAATGAATTAAGGATAAGTTTGTGCCCACAGACATAAACAAAAATCAACATTAACCTCACTCTGACTCAATGGTGTGCTGGTACAGATTAAAATGTCTAACTTTCAGAAGATGTTGAAACACTAATCAATGTTTAAAAGTTGTACTGTTTGACAATATGACTGAGAACAACTTATACAATCTGAGGCACATATCCCTAACTGCTAGAAAACTTGATTTGTGTTGCAATGTGTTGTGTCCATCCATAACTTGTACATAGCTCCATTTTCTGCCTTTAAAAGCACACACAACCCACAATTCCACTATTCGCTCCAACAAAGGGCTAACGCTTGAAACAACGGCTTTTATAATCATAACGGTGGCCAATTTACCATTTCAACTTTGTCGATATATTCAAATTATTTTGTTACCCCCACTGACGCAGCCCCAAACAGTTTCTTTAGAAACTATCAGCCTTTATTCATAACATGTACAGTACAGTTAAATGAGAGCATTACCAAGGTCAATAGGCCCATCTCTTAGACCATCCAGCTCGTAAAGTTTACCAAGAATTGGAACATATGCAACAAAGTGATATACGTTGTCATCTTTTGGAGGAAGTTTGGCATCAAATTCAAACATCTGTTGCCTGAGGTCATAGAGTAAAAATGAACAGGAATTACATTTTGTAAAACTTGCTAAGGATACTTAAAACATTAACTTAAAATAGTAACGATAGTAATGTGCCTTTTGAATCACTACATCAATCAATTAGTCACCCCTTCATTTAATTAGTGAGTGCATTAGTCAGTACATATGAGTGAATCTGTTATTAAGGCAGTCAATAAATCAGTCAATCAGTTGGTATATCATCAGTTAGTAAATTATCAGTCTTTCAGTCAGTCAGCTGTCATTAAGTGCATCAGTAAGTCAGTCTTGGTGGGTCAATCAAGCAATCAATCAGTCGGTAAGTCATCAGTTTGTCTGTCAAGACAGTCAATCGCTTGGTCGGTCGGTCGGTCTGTCAGTCGGTCGGTAAATAAGTCAGTGTCAGTCATTTAATCAATAAGTAAGTCAGCAACTCAGTTTATCTGTCTGTAAATCAGTAAGTCAGTCAGTCAATACTTTCAGTACATAAGTTAATCACAGAATTAGAGTCTCAAACCAAAAAATTTGTGACTTTGTATTTCTAACACATTCTTCAGCATCTCACCTTATCTCTACCGCACCTATGAGTCAACTTGTAACCTATACTAATTGTAATTTGCTTAAAGGCTCCAAATGAATGAAAACCAGTCACACAATTTGTAATAAATTACTGATTCAAACCTGGCAAAACCTTTGTGAACTTGTCTTATAACATCAGAGTTACTGAGACTGAGCCCCTTTAACTGTCACCAATGAAAGATCAAAATGATGATTAAAAATTTAATATTTCAATCATTTAACAACTATGCACTGAAGTGGAGGTGGTTAGTGGTGGATATTTACCGAGCTGCAAAGCGGCGAGGTAAATATCCCCTGCTAACCACCGAAACTGAGGTGAATAGTAGTGATCACTGAGTGAACACTGAGATAATATACACCACCAAAAATTAATTTGAGTGATTTCTTTGCTTGTCACAGATGCAGACTGGGACGCCATGCTTTCCCGAGTTGTTTGGAGGTAAATAGCAAAGGATATTCGGAGTTTGACTAGCCAATCAGAGCGCGCCTTCAGCACTATCCACTGTTTTAGTAACTATAATTATACTAATTATGGTTATCCATGTATATATGTGTGCATTCAGTAATTGGCCAAAATCCAAAAAGACCAAATCATTAGCTAACTGGCCTCTGAATGAACATCTTACTCTGGAGAGAGTTGAAACCAGTTTCCTTTCTAATGTTCTGAACTCTTTCACACCCAGAAGAGATCATTCTTTAGATTCTGTCACAATGCTATTATTAAGCATTTTACATTCTGTACAAATTAGGTAAATCATCAAACTTGGGGATATACTTTGGAATTTGACATAGTAACACAATCTCAGGACCAGCTACAAGTTTGAAAGGAATGTTTGGTGATAGAAGTCCACATGAATGGATGAAATATCAGAGCTTAGAAAAAAACCATACAAATATGTAATAGATAAATTGCATAAAGTACACTTTTTATATCAGTTTACAAGACTATGATGCATTACAATAAAAACTGAACTTACTGATGAGTCAAATGTGGCTGAAAACTCTTTAAAGCTTGACAGGGTTGGTCCAAGATCCATGTCTGGATGATTGCAGTTAAGGAGCACACTTAAAATTGCTTGAGTTGCACAGGCATTTGTGATAACCTAAAAACATAATAATTTAAGGTTGTTATAATTTATTCCATTAGCTCTCTCTGGTAGTACTGACTGTGAGGACATTCATGATATATGATTTAGAAATTAAAGTAAACTTACTTGCTTTGCAAAAAATATTCCAAGAGACCGACTTTCATGCACGATGGGCCCCGCAGGCTCTTCACCTGGCTTCCATTTGAAAAGAAATATTAAACCATGAACTGGTCTGAAATTAAAAAAGAATAATTATCAATAATGCAAGGTCTTTAACTCTTAAATTCCCAAGATCTGATTGATATAACTCTCCCCTCTAGCTGTGACACATTTCCTTGTAAAGTAGTTGGGAGAATTTGGTGTTAGATCCAGACAACTTCAACCTGATAAGCTTGTGAATTCTCATTACCTGTTTACTGTACAACATATGGATATTAATTATAAAGAAAAGTTACATTTTAATCACCTCTTGGAGTTAAAAGAGTTAATACATTTTTCCATAAAGGCTGTTGATGGTGTAGTACTGTAGGCTGCTGTATCATCAGGCAAAAACTCAAACACCAGAGCCTGCTCACAGGCTTAACCCCTTATGCTCTAACATCAGTATGCATATTCTCCATACTGTTCTCTATAAATTTCCTTGGTAATGACAAGGAGAATTTGTTAACAATCAAGACCTCCTTTAGGTGATGACCATTTCCTATATTCTCATGATCTTCAGCTGTGATTCAGGGGTGATATTGTTCTCTATAAATTTCCTAAGGTGCTGACAAGGAGAATTTGTTTAACAATCAAGAACTCCTTTGGTTGATGATCATTTCCCATATTCTCACACCCTTCAGCTGTGATTCAGGGGTGATATTGTAAGGAGAAATCGAATGCCAATCACTCTTAGGGGTTGAAGGGCTGACAGACAGCTGTAAGAGATCTTACCAGGCAGTAGCAGACAGTTGGTAACCTATGGTCTACCACTGATCTGATCCAATACCAAATTCTCCAAACTAAGATGGTAAGAATTGTATAGCAGACAGTAAGGAGAATTATCAATGAGATCTTGGGAGTGAAATGGTTAAACCCCTGATAAATGAAAAAGCCCTCATATGTACAAGTTAAAATAACTTAGAGATATGTAGGTTGTATTCTTGCTGAGACTATACATTCAAGAGACTAATGCGACAAGTGAAAAAAAAGTTCTTTGGGAAGATCACTCAGAAATCATATAAATTGATCAGTAGTACCTTAACTCGTCAAGGGATGCTTCATCGAGGCTGTAGATCTCTTCCACTTGAATTCCAGAACACCCTTTAGTAACATATCAAATGGGCAAATATTATGATACAGAAACATCACAAAGGTAATAGGAAATAGGGAAGATTTTGTCAATAAACGAAAAATGAATTAATGAACGATTGGCTACATGATGTCCCAGAGTGCATTCTTGCTAAAAAAACACATATACTATTTCCATAGTTTATTCTAGAAATTGGCCAAAGTGGGTTCAGTGGATACCCTTCCATAATCTTAGGGGATCCTTTTTCAAGAGGAGGGTCCTGGAAGGGGAATTTAAAGAGTTACCTGAAAGTTGGTGAGAGAGAAACTGAGGTAATAAGGCTATATAACATGGAGTAGCTTCCATATCAAACTTGATGTTAGACATGCTTTCAAATACTAATTTTAAAAAGATTAGTACTTTAAAAAAAGTGCCTAACCTGGGGCAAAATTTATTGCACTGCATATGATGCTTAAAAGTAAGTTCTATACAGCATTTCCTTTCATAAAGTGGAAATCCTGCCAAGCTACTGCTCTTTAATAAACCAAACATGTACTATATATTCCTCATTTTTTCATCAACAAAACTAACTTCCGCGCTATCCAACAGTATATTTCTGCCAATTACAGTAGGGTAAACTGTTATGTAGAAACTCCAATGAACACACGAAGTCTTGTGTTCTAGGAGACTATCCATGAAAATAGCATAAATATAAAATGAATATAAATATATAAACTTTGGGTGCTGAGAAATCCTCAAGCCTGGACTAAAGGCCTCCCTCTCTATTCCCGGATTTCTTTTTGTACCGAATGATTGCATATGAAACAACGTCACGTGTTTAATTTGACAGCGAAATAAATTAAATGCAAAGAAAAACTACAAGAGCTTGGAGAGGGAACAAGAACATGCAGCAAAAGCGATTCCACTTTTATCGATCACGTTGGTCAACATCAAGTTCATAGAAACTGATAGTGACTGCTACGTTGAGAGAGAACGGAAATATTTAAGACTGCTGCAACGTAATCTTTTACCATGATAATTTTTTTCCCGCTGGAAGGTCAAAATCGAACGATCTCGTGGTGATCCTGACTCTGTTCTCAAAGGGAAACGAAATTATTCGTATTACAAGAGAATGCTCCATGGTTAACTATAATCTTAGCACGTACCAAAACCTCGGATTAATTCGGTGAAAACGCCAGGATCGCTCTCAATCAAACACCATTCGCCTCCGCCAGCAGCCATCTTGGATTAATTTTTTTTTTGCTTACGAGTGTCCAGGCTATCATTTTACTTTCAATTGATCACAGAACGGACTAAGGAACCTGGAAACTAGAAAACAACTTTGAATCAAAGATGGCGAATGTGGCTGCCGCATCTTGATAGACTTTCAAAATATCTTGCCTCTTCTTTAAGATGATGCGTAGATGTTTTATAATTTTCACATCTTTTCTTGTTATACACTTGAATATCTCATAAATTATTCTTTCTACATCGCGCAACTGAGGTCTATCGAATATGTGGAGACCTCCGTTTCCCTCTCTACCGGGCGCGCAAACTTTTGCATCAGCACCTTCGGTAAGCATCGTACATGAGTAGTTATTTTAACTCACACAATTCCTTACTATGTAGATTTTGGTAATTCAGATTTTTTTAGTAGAGTTTCACCACTCTTAACCACAGCTCTTTAGTGTTTTTTTTTTCTTTTTTTTTTTTTTTTTACAGGTAAATCAACGACATACCCCTCCCAGATTTCAGACGCACCTTCGACAACCAGCTATTGCACAGAGTACAGTAACCAACCCTGAGGCAGTAGCACCTATACAGCATTGGGGCTCTCCTCCTAGATTACATGGTCCACTTCACCCATCAATGGCTGGTCCCAACCCACCAAGGAGTATGCTCTCAACAGCTCCAGCTCCAATGATTTCAGCTAGAGGAATGACATCTCCCCAGCACCAGTCACGTAAACCCATGACTGCGCCTTCACCTGTTTTGGTTCCATCCCCAGTCAGACAGTCTTCGCCTTTCACTATCCCACCATGGCAAGTGAGGAACCCCCAACAATCTGGATTCAATTTGAACCAGTCATCTTCTGTTATGGTATCCACCCCACCTTCCATCAACAGAATTACACCTTCAACCCAGCAGGTGTTTGTGTCTTCTCCTAAAGTTCCTCCAGGAGGTGCCCCATCTCTTGGACAGCATCCACCTGTGACTTTTGCTTTTACTCCAGCAAGAATTCCTCCATCTCCAGTGCAGGGATTACCTCAGTCATCTACTTCACCCTCTTTTACCAAAGTTGTTGGCCCAATTAATGAGCCATTAACATCTTCATCAGTCCCTTCACCTAAAGGAGTCCAAGCTCCGCAGTCTTCTCCTTTTAATAATCCACTTTGGCAGGTTAAACACCCACAACCAACCCTAAGATCTCCAGGTCTGACTCTCTACCCTAGAACACAAACGTCTTCAGTGTCATCTGTACCAATAGGGATGCCACCTGTGCCTAGAGGGATGCCACCTGTGCCTAGAGGGATGTCAGCTGTGCCTAGAGGGATGTCAGCTGTACCTAGAGGGATGTCAGCTGTGCCTAGAGGGATGTCAGCTGTGCCTAGAGGGATGTCACCTGTGCCTAGAGGGGTGCCATTTCCAGTGGGAGTTCTACATCAACGACCGCAGTCATTATCATTGAACAGTTCAGCTGGGCAGACTAGAAATCCTCAACCTGATCCCAGCTTTAACCTGAGGCATTCTTTTGCAGCAGGCTTTAATAGACACTTGCTTGAGCCACAGTGGAGGACTGCAGTGCCTAATATTCAACACCCCAGTCATGGAGAAAACTTAGGTCCTTTTGATCTTCAAAGAGAAAATGTCTACAGTAAAAATAAAACTCAGTCCCCTGAAATGAAACAGTTCATTTCTGGCAAAAGTAGAAATTCTGATTCCAGTCTTAATGGTAGACCTCTTTACCGAAGGACAGGTTCTCACAGAGAAGGACATAGAGGAAGAGAGCCAGGAAAAAGGAGGTTTGGAAATAAGTAAAGTATAATTTGCCTTAACAAAACAAATGAGATTTCATCGTGAAATTTGAAATTTTAAATTACAAACATAAGATCAAAAAGTGTCAGAAAACAAATTCTTAGTGAAGAAAGTCTGAGATACACCAGTCCTGTACATTGTCTCTTAAAAGAATTTTGAAACCATCAAGGAAAGAATTAACAGCAAGAAAAGACAGTCAACATGCTTGTAATGAACATCAGGTTAAAGCTGGCATAGATGTTCAAATGACAGTCACTGAGACTCCAGATGCAAAAAGTTGTCTACAGACACATCTAAGAGATCATGGAGATACTTAAATGCAAAAATTCCCACAAGTATTTCTGTACTAAGTAACTATTTCCAGCAACAAGTGCCATTTGTGACCGGGCACAGGATTTTGTACACTAATGCTTTTCCGTTAAACGGATAAAAAAAAAAAGGTTTGTAAACAGATAGTAAACAGATAGTAAAAGCGTTTAAACGGTTTGCATGTCTGTTTAAACGAATAGTCCAAAGCGTTAAACAGTACAGCAAAGTCCAAAAACGGATTCCGTAAACCGTTAAACGGCCCAGAAAAAAAATAAACAGATGGCTTATAACTTTAAAGGGTTGAACAGCATCTATTAATTTTTGGCCTTTTTCTTCTGCAAAGGAGCTATGTGCCAGGTGCAGGTGGCAGAGCTAGTCCTCGAGTTGACCGCTGTTATTCTCCGCCACCTCCAGATATTGAAAGAGTGATAACTTATCTGGCATCAGACGATTTGTATATCAAAAAGCAGAATAGTGAGGTATGTCATTCCACTAAATGCTTTAGAGAACTCTGATTATCCAGGTGACGGTAGTCCTTAAAATGCTGGTAAACGTTTGTTGATGATTGTCATCTTGGCAACCTGAACAGTCAACGATATCAGTTCAAAGTCAAAAGTTGTCAAAAAACCCTTGTTTCCAGTTATGCTGGTACCAGTTATTACACCCCTTTACCTCCTAAGGGTGACTAGCATCTAGTTTATCCTTATAATATAACCCCTGAATCAAACTGGGTCACAAGAATAAAGGGAATGATTACCCCCTAAAGATTCTCTTGATAGTTAGACAAACTCTGCATGCACCTTTGGAAAGCTACAGTGTAGAGAAGAGTATGGAGAACACACATACTGATGTTAGGATGTAAAGGGTTAAGGATTACTTTCAGTGCACTTTTCTGTGATCCATCTACTGGTTTATACAAAAATAAATTGAACTCAGGATGGAATCTAACTGCAGCATTCATATGTTCAGTTTTGTAGCCTATGAAGTATTTTAATGGTAGTAATCATTTTTTAGACATGTATTTATGAGATTTGTTTTCTTTTTCTTTTTTTTTTTTTTTTTTTTTTTTCTAAGGGTGGCATTTCTATCGTTCAGGGAACAGAAAAGCTTAGTGAACTTCAGAACAAATTTCAAAAGGAAATAGTTAACATGACAGCTGTGATTGCTGAAGATGATGAGGAGAGTGTTGACAGTGGGCAAAGCAACCCCACCGAAACAGATGTTGGTGATGTAGAGTTGCCAATGGACAGTGAAGCTGATGACGGCCCTGAATCATGGATCAGAGAAGGGACGAGTGTCAGTAATTTGACAGAATTCCTCAGTGATGAGGAATCGAACATTGATGAAGATGACAGTGAGATTGGAAGCAAAAGGTTGAGCAGCAGTAGCTCTGAATCAGATGACAGTGATGACAATGAAGACGATGAGGAAAGTGGGAGCTCTGATCATGATAAAAATTTGCATGAACAAGTTCACAAAGGTTCTGTTGTTGAAGAGACCAGGAAAAGAAAGATGCAAGATCCTCTTCGTCTTCATCCAGAACTATGGTTCAATGAAAAAGGAGAGGTGGGTCAAGTTTACTTTTGTTAAACATTTTTGTGAACTCAAGAGAAATGTTCAGGGGTGGTCACTACTGCTTTAAGCAAAGTAGATTTTTTTTTTCAAAGGAGTTTTGATCAGTTGAGTGAAAAGTAGGTAAAGGGTCAAATTAAAGGTCAAAATAACTTCAAGGGTCAAAGTTTGAAATTAATTTAATTTGCCATTGGTCAAACTTTGCTGCAGCACACTTTCATGGGGTATTACCTAGTAGGCAGCTTTGCAACTGAGACAGTGTGCAGTTAGTAAATTAAAGTTTAGCTCTAAACTTTTCCACTCCCTCCTCACTTGTGTCAGGCTTAATGGTATTTGATTTTGTGTTTGCCATCAATCAAACCAAATCAAAGAGATAAAATGCCAATTGGACCATGCCTTTTTTTTCTCATTAATTTTGAAAAGTGTGATTTTGTTTAGAAATGTTATCCTTGATTTGTAACATAATCTAAGTTTTAGCAAAAGAGTTATTGTCCAGTGTTTCTCTTGATTTCATTTAGGTTCTAGTTGAACAATTTTTATTTTCTGATAGACAAATGATGGTGCAGTCTGCCGCTGTAGTTTATCTGACAAGCAGCATGGAATTCGTCATGGTATCTACCCTGGTGAATCTGTAAGTGTAATCTAGATTATTGTTGGTTGGTTTATTTGGTTTGAATCAAAATTTAATCAAACCATTTCTTTTTTAATTTATTAATACGTGATTTTCACTACTATGACCTAGAAGAGGTAAAGTCTGCAATTAAGGGCCAGAGGCCCATTAGGGCAGAACTTATCCTGGTATCTGTTGCATGAAGGGACTAGGGGTATTACTAACCCCTCCTGGATAGGATGCTAGTCCATCACAGGTTAACCACCAACATTTCATCTGGCTTCCCTGATAGTTTTCCAGTATCCATCTTTATTATCCAACTACACTCCATAGAGTACAAATAATGCCTTTAGAAGACGAGTAGAAATATCATGCAATATTTGTACTCCAGAAATATCTGCAAAATTCGCCTGCTCTGAAATAGAAATTTGGGATGTTGGATAATAAATCTCTCATTAAACATTTTGTTGTGTAGTATCGCTGAGTATTTTTACTTGCTGTTTGTATTTTGACTTGCCCTACAGGTTTGTCAAAATACAGCACAATTCGTAAAAATACTCAGCGATACTACAAAACAAAAAATAAAATATGTAATTATTATATTCCTGGGTGGAGAGAGGCCTTGTGAGAGCGAAGTGTCTTCAAACAGAAAGGATGTTAAAATTGATGAAAATTATTTCATTGGAAATTAACAAAAGTAAACAGCACTAAATGTTTTCATGAAGTAATGCTTACCTAATGTAACAAATATTATTTTGTTGCCGCTCGATCTGATTGTGTACATCATACAATTTTTTACAGGTCATTCCCGCCTGTGACCCTTTAACAAACAATGCAGACAAATTGCATCATTACTGGGTGACTGTTACACCACATTCCAACTTCATGGTGAGTCATACACCTCACTGCTAGGGAATGAAGGAGCGATGGTTTTCACGTTATGCACTGTATTCATTCATGTGCACACTGATCTTTCCAGTAGACGTACATGTACATGTTATAAAAAAAAAAAAAAATGAGGAGAAAAATGTTTTGCGAGACATTTGGTATAATATAATAGCTGAATTGTAGGGCCTTATATCAGTTTCTGTCTGAGTCACTTACTACAAAATATATGGTCGCATTTTTCAATTTGATTGTTTTAATTTCTTATCTGATGAATCGTTTAAATACTGTCGCTGTTCAATTATTGTTGCTGTTCTCTGTTGCATAGCCAAACTTGACTGAGTCAAATCTTTACTTTTCAGACAGAAAATCCTACTATCATCCAGTTTGATGGAAAGGATTACACATTTGAGGGATTTTCAATGTTTTCCCATCAGCCACTTAAGGATGTGAGTTTTCTTGGTGTAAAAAATTTCACTCTTGAAATCATCAATGATACTCCCAGATATGTGTAACAATGTTTGAGGATCTAAACTGGAAATCTTACTGGTCACTGGCCCTCAACTATTCCACTTACAGAGGTTTCATTAAGGGCTGGGCACCGGCCAAATTGACCGGCTGTAAGGACGGTTTTGCCCACCTGGTTTAACAATCTGGAGGAAGGTTTATCTTATATAAAGAAGTTTAGTTAAAAAAGTTTTGCCTGCCTGCGAAAACCAGTTGCCAGTCCTTCTGAAAAAATTACTGAAACCCCTGCACTTATTGTCCATAAAGTTGTAGAAGGTTCTGTTAAGATTTCCAAGGCCACAAGGTTCCCCAAAAGATCCTGTTGGCCTGAGCAAATTTTAGTGTTTTGTACATGTCCTTAACATTGTATTAGTAAAATCTTGGATATTTTAAAAGAATCATTTAAAAGAATCATAACTGAGGTAATCAAAGCATCATTAGCTTTTATTAGCTTTTAATTAAAAGCACTATTATAATAGAGAGTTAAAAAACACAACAAGCTAATAAGAGCCGGGATTTATTGGGTTGTGCCTCTAAAGAGTTGATTGCTTACAAAGGAAGTCTACAGTGAGTTGTCACAGGCAAGCATAGGGCAGTTTTCCTGAGTTCTGATCTGAAACAGCACGAAATTATGAAGCTAACATAACATAGCCAGGGGTGCTTATTAGAAATTTTTGATGTTCACCTGAGTGTATTTTCAATTGATATTGTGTACTTTATTGATGATGACTATAAAATAATGTCTATTCCCAGATACCAAGTTTTTCAGTGATTAGATTCAACATTGAGTATACTCTTCATTTCATCAGTCAGCCAGTTTCAGAGGTCAGTTTAAAATCTCTTTGTTTATTCAAGTGCTGGCTCACAAGCTTCAACTTTGTTTGTGTTTAATTTTTTCCAATTTCAAATCGAACAACCCTAGTTAACCATGAATAACTCTTCCTAGAAATTAAATGTTTTACACATGATAAGGGTAACCACAACTGCCAGAATTTAAAATACAGTTAAGTGAAAATTACAAAATAATTATTGTAATTAAAGGGGAAAAAATTCAGGAATTTGGAAATCAACAGCTTTAAACAGGATTACTGCTTAATGCAGTGCCCCTTGATACAGGTACAACTGTGATTTACAGATCATTTCTTTAACTTGTCATATACACACAGTTTACTTATAATTAACTTCTTATTGAGCTCACCTTCTTTTCCTCACTTTATTTATGATCTGTGTGCTTTGTACTTGGGCCATAAATCGATAAGAAAAAAATGCCAATTATAACTTATTGTACAGACTTTCAAACTTGATTATGCATCTATCATTTTGTAGCTTCAACATTTCCTCCCCCCTTTCCCTTCCCAGCAACCCACAGACATTTAACTTTCATCCTTGCCTAGGGGGGAATTTGAACCTTGCCTGGGTGGGGTGGAGCATTTAAACCAGAAAATAATGCCAGTGTAACAGGTGTTTTAATGGAGGAGGTTAAAAGGTCAAGAATTAAGCTGCTTTCCTGAGCATGGCTTTTCACATCAAAGAATGATGCTTACAAGTGAAGAACCCAACAGCTGCAGGAAAAAGTAGTAGGTGAACTAACTCATTCCTGTAGCATTCATTGATCACTCCAAGAATCGTTCAATAGCGGGTGGAGCATTTGAATGTAATTTTGGCCCAGGGAGGATGGGAATTTGATCGAATCAGTCTTCAAAAGTTGCCAAGGGTTGCTCAGGGGGTGGGGGGGGATTTTGAAGCGTCAAACTGATGGACACAGTGCATGTCAAGGGCATTTATTATATATTTCCGCATCCAACTGGCTATGTTTTTCTTTTAGAATTTTTGTGTCAGAGATCTTGACTTGTTCACAGAGTTTTTCTTCTACAAAGTGCTAGAACTGGCAGATTGGGACTTAAATGGTAAGTACTAGAGGGTGTTACCTTTACATTTACAGCAAAGAGCAAATGGCAAAACTTTAATCATTCATACATATTTAGTTGTGCACTGTAGGTTTTAACTTTCAGAACATGCTTTTTGCAGGAAATGTTCAGGATTCATGTCAGAGATTTCACTTTATGCCAAGATTTGTCCACAGATCTTCAAGTAAGTCACCAAACAAATTATTTTTGTTTCTAAATTTGTATTTAAAATATGGTGTGGTTACTAAGGACTGGTAAGTTGATTATCAATGTATCATGAAAGGTCTGAGAATTTTTACAATAATTAGTACCTCTGCTTTTAAAATTTGCATTTTCAAATTCACAGTGAGTGCAATAACCTTTCCACTGCCAAGATCTGATTAGAAATTCTCCTTACTGTTTTCTTTACAATTCTTGTGACATTGTTTCAGCGAATTCAGTATTGGATAAACTTATAATCTCCTAATTGATGTTTGTCTTTATTCTCCTCACCTGTCTGCTTGACATTGTATTGATATTGTAAGGAGAAATTCTATCTTGGTCACCCACAGGAGTTAACCTGTGAGTGGTCAACTACATGTATGGGTGTCTCAACTGCTCGTCATCTTGAGAATAATTAACAAGTCTTGCATATCTCAATTAGTATGTGTGCTACAATTGGTCAATTAGCAGGCCACATTTCATTGTATGGCCCACTAATTTCAAAAGTTTGTTTGGGATATAGTAACAATCTTGCTAACATTGTTTTCATGGTCCTTTCTATCAACTGTAGAACCTTGTTTTTTTCCACTTTGATTTATGGTCTGTGGGTGTGTGCTTGGGTCATAAAAACTTGATCTGTAACTTATAGTATGAACCTCAAATTTGGTCATTATGAGGTATTTAGTCTCAGAAGTGGTGGCAAATTCCTTTTTACCTTGCATTTATTTCTTCCTCTAGATGTGAGTAATTCAGCTGCAAACCATGAACTTCTTTCAATGAGCCATGTCTTGTCCCATATTTTAGACTCCGCTGAACCTCTTGTTAAGGTAAAAAAAAAAAAAAAGTTAAGGCCAAAATAAATTCAGATGGAACATATTATTTGAAGAGTACAGTATTAATTGCTTCTTTGGGAATGTATTGTTGATTGCTCCTTGTTGTATCACTGAGTTCTATCCAGTCTTTGCTACACCTCAGGCCGAAAAGTTCTGCTCGCGTGGGATTCGTTTCGTAGGCCGCATAAGAAACGGTGCTCTTTTCAGAGCCATGCACCAGATCTAAAAAAGTCAATGACCAACAATTCGCGTCCTCTTCTTGTCTTTTTAACCATAAGTTCTGCTAAAGTTGTGATCTTAAGATTTAGTTGCGAAAATATACTTGGCTATAAGACACACCCCAATTTCAACCCTAACTTTCCACCCGAAGACAGAATTTACTTGAAAAAACCGTGTGCCTTATTACCGAGAAACTACTGTATTTGAGTGTATAAAAGTATGTATGACGACTAATTGGACGTCATATCTGTGGCAGCCTGTCTCGGTTTGTGTAGCTTGAAGTAACTACAAGTATTGCTAATCTTTAGCGGTTATTGCAGGTTACTTCCAGCAATTTCTCAGGTACCCAGTCATACTCATGGGTGGCTCAGGGACACTTAATATTGACCCAAGGTGGTGTAGCTCTAACCCAATCATTTTGATCTGCAGTCCAGAGCAGTAATCCCTTGGCTTGGGCACTCCAGTGCTTGTGTTTTTTAAAAACAATTGTTTCTCTAATTAATTTTTATGTTGTCTCCAACAGCCAGGTGATTTTACTTTAAATGCTGACAAATTGGGGGAATATTCAAAATCATGTGTCAACTCTCTTGTCATGAACCCAAACAAGGTGAGTCAGAATGTGATATTATTCAGGTGTGAAAAAAAGTTTTTTTTTGTCAACCAGATTTTGCACTCTTCATGTATGTGGGAGGGAAACTTGATTTAGGCTTTTCAGCCTTGTACTGAACTGTAGTTAAAACAAGATATGCTCTAAAATTTTGATAATCTTTCGAACATTACTATGATTGCCTATACTACCTCACGAGTCATATCACATAACATTTGTCTTCAGCTAACGACCACAGATTCGATTATTTTTTCATAATCCCATTCAATCAAAGTAGTAAGAATCCTATCCAAAATGCATTTGAAGTGTTTTTACTCTTGTCGTAGAAACCAGTGGCCATCAGGGTTGACGACCTACAGTTTCATACAGATGAAAAGCAATTGTCCAACGGAAAGGTAAGTTACTTAGTGGGTGTCGACCGATGATCATTGAAAAAATAACGAACCTGAAAGGAAGCAAAGGAGAATATTATCTAATTTTGTTTCGGTTCTTTTATGGGTACTGTAAATTGTACCTAGAATATCTGACTTACCATTTAAGATCACTTCATGCTTTTTCTTGTACGATTTGAATACAGAAATACCCGTATATTGTGCACCACGGTATCAGGCCAGTGCAGATGAGTTTTGCAGGGGATCCTAAGTAAGTTTTGTTTCGTTATTGTAGAGTTAACGCGCAGTCAGAGGGAAGATAGATATCACAATAGTCTTCTATTCTCTTCGACATGCACTCGCAGTTTTAGGCACCCATTCGTTCTATTTCACCTCGCGTGGATATGCGTTTTCTTTAACTTGTCTCTTGAAAGTTGATTAATGCTAACATCATTTTCTAATAGCGCGCTGATATAAATGTATGCGGAATGAAGAGCACATACCATTTTTCCGTTTTCCAGGTATCAAAAGCTATACAGGTCATACGTCAAGCTAAGGACGCTGATTTCAAACACGTAAGTGAAAGTGTTTTTACTTCAACCAGGTTTTTAGCGGTTTTTTAATCACCTGAACCGTAAAATATCCCAGTCAGCGGAAAAAGCTTACTAATTTGGGCGAGTTTGCTAAATTTGAGTGCTATAAGTTTGAACATAGTACACTCTTGCAGATATCCTTCAATCCATACCCAGCTCTCTAGTCGGGGGATTTTTAAAGGCCGATCGTTACCTTTTTGAAATGGCACTCAAATTTCAAAAGATGAACTAATAAGGTTCTGATAAAATATCGGGACCTAAGCGATCCATGAAGATCACCGATCACTTCACGTGCACCTCCGCCAATGTAATCTATTGCATAACTTGCACTTATTGCAAAAAGATATACATCGGCGAAACAGGTAGAAGACTAGGTGACCGATTCCGAGAACACCTTCGAGACGTGGAAAGGAATGACAAGACACATCGAAACCAGTCGCTAGACATTTTAATTTACCTAATCATTCTAAGCAACATATGGCAATCTGCGGTCTTTCCTTACACTTAGGTAGCACGGAAA